ATCAAAGTTTTACATAGAAATATATAGGAAAAATCTTTGAAAATCTTCTTCTCAAGAACCACTGGGCCAGAAAAGCTGAAACTTATGTGGAAGCATCCTGGTATAATGTAGATTCCAAATTGTTCAAATAATGACCCCCGGGGGAAGGGCGGGGCTACAATGGGGAATCAAAGTTTTATATAGAAATAGATAGGAAAAATCTTTGAAAATCTTCTTCTCAAGAACCACTGGGCCAGAAAAGCTGAAACTTATGTGGAAGCATCCTGGTATAATGTAGATTCCAAATTGTTCAAATAATGACCCCCAGGGGAAGGGTGGGGCCACAATAGGGAATCAAAGTTTTATATAGAAATAGATAGGAAAAATCTTTGAAAATCTTCTTCTCAAGAACCACTGGGCCAGTAAAGCTGAAACTTATGTGGAAGCATCCTGTTGTAGTGTAGATTCTAAATTGTTCAAATCATGACCCCCGGGGGAAGGGCGGGGCCACAATAGGGTATCAAAGTTTTACATAGAAATATATAGGAAAAATCTTTGAAAATCTTCTTCTCAAGAACCACTGGGCCAGAAAAGCTGAAACTTATGTGGAAGCATCCTGGTATAATGTAGATTCCAAATTGTTCAAATAATGACCCCCGGGGGAAGGGTGGGGCCACAATAGGGAATCAAAGTTTTATATAGAAATAGATAGGAAAAATCTTTGAAAATCTTCTTCTCAAGAACCACTGGGCCAGAAAAGCTGAAGCTTATGTGGAAGCATCCTGTTGTAGTGTAGATTCTAAATTGTTCAAATCATGACCCCCGGGGGAAGGGCGGGGCCACAATGGGGAATCATAGTTTTACATAGAAATATATAGGAAAAATCTTTGAAAATCTTCTTCTCAAGAACCACTGGGCCAGTAAAGCTGAAACTTATGTGGAAGCATCCTGTTGTAGTGTAGATTCTAAATTGTTCAAATCATGACCCCCGGGGGAAGGGCGGGGCCACAATAGGGTATCAAAGTTTTACATAGAAATATATAGGAAAAATCTTTGAAAATCTTCTTCTCAAGAACCACTGGGCCAGAAAAGCTGAAACTTATGTGGAAGCATCCTGGTATAATGTAGATTCCAAATTGTTCAAATAATGACCCCCGGGGGAAGGGTGGGGCCACAATAGGGAATCAAAGTTTTATATAGAAATAGATAGGAAAAATCTTTGAAAATCTTCTTCTCAAGAACCACTGGGCCAGAAAAGCTGAAGCTTATGTGGAAGCATCCTGGTATAATGTAGATTCCAAATTGTTCAAATAATGACCCCCAGGGGAAGGGTGGGGCCACAATAGGGAATCAAAGTTTTATATAGAAATAGATAGGAAAAATCTTTGAAAATCTTCTTCTCAAGAACCACTGGGCCAGAAAAGCTGAAACTTATGTGGAAGCATCCTGTTGTAGTGTAGATTCTAAATTGTTCAAATCATGATCCCCGGGGGAAGGGCGGGGCCACAATAGGGTATCAAAGTTTTACATAGAAATATATAGGAAAAATCTTTGAAAATCTTCTTCTCAAGAACCACTGGGCCAGAAAAGCTGAAACTTATGTGGAAGCATCCTGGTATAGTGTAGATTCTAAACTGTTCAAATAATGACCCCGGGGGGAAGGGCGGGGCCACAATGGGGAATCGAAGTTTTATATAGAAATATATTTGAAAAATCTTTGAAAATCTTCTTCTCAAGAACCACTGGGCCAAAAAAAGTGAAGCTTATGTGGAAGCATTCTGGGGTAGTGTAGATTCTAAATTGTAGGAATCATAGGGCGGGGCCATTATTGGGAATCAAAGTTTTACATAGAAATATATAGGAAAAATCTTTGAAAATCTTCTCAGGAACCACTGGGCCAAAAAAGCTGAAACATATGTGCCCATGGAAGGATCATGGTGTAGTGTAGATTTCAAAATGTCTAAATTATGATCAGTGGGGTAGGGTGGGGATGCATTATGTATAACAAGGGGGAAATCTGGTAAAGAACAGAATGGTCAAAGCTTCTCAGGTGAGCGATGTGGCCCATGGGCCTCTTGTTTTTCATGTTCTTCTTCTCTCTTAATACCAGGATTATCTGATCATATTGACAGAAGCAGACTTACAAGTATATTATAATAGCCCAGGGTAATTTACAGGTGTGCTTCAAGGAATATAAATAGATGCTTTACATTTCATGGCTTATGATTTGTTTATATATGTTTGATGACATATGGAAAAAAAGTAATATCGTAAGATATGCATGTTTAGACACTGAACAAAAGTACAGAAATATCAAGTTTTGTATTCTTTTTGCGTTTACCCAAGGATGAACACCCGCAGTAAAGTACATAATTCAGATAATCATCTTATTAAAAGAAAATAAATTCTCCCTTAATTTCATTGAACGGTCTGATAGCATGAACTCAGGTTGAAGGTCAATCATTGATACATCCAGATCTGCAGAGACAGATCCCCCGTGCTGCCTTCAGTACAGTTATTAGATTGTTGTGTCACGTTTCTTACAGCGATCGTATATGAGATTCTCTACAGGACTGTGTTCCATCTTCACACGGAGCTAGAGGAGTCTGTCCAGATCATCCGTGAGCAGAATAAAAACAAAAACAGGAACGGAGTCTTCCCCATTGTGGAGTAAGTTTTTCTAAAGAAACTTGCTAATTGTTAAATTCAGTAGCAAACCTATTCATGTTGCCTGTGTATTTTAATGATTTTTTTCAGTTAGAGTTTACTGGAATCACCATGTCTGTCTGTTCATCTGTCAAGAGATATATTTTGTCTGGAGATGGTCTCTGAAATTATGTATATTTTTTTTCAAACTTTGTAGAATTTTAATCATTTGAACTGGTGCAGCAATGAAATTTCCTTTCAATTGTGACTTTTTAGCTCTACAGATCTGAGACCAGAAGATCGAGCTTATGCAATAGTAATGGTTCCACTATCCGTCTGTCTGTCCATAAAATTTAAAAAAGTCTTATCTTGAAAATGTGAGAACTCCTTATTGGAGGAATATTTGGAGATGATACTGGGTATATTGGTACATCATAATTAGGTATGCGACCTGATTCAGTGACATAGTTGTTAAATATGCATATTAAGGTGATCACATTTACCTGACTAAGAAGTTACATGTTCTGCGGACCATAACATTTTGATACTTAAACAAAGTCTGATTTTTTGCACTGAACCACAACCTTTAGTCGGACACAGTGTTCAAACCATATCATACAAACATTACATTTCCATAGGATTTGGGTCATAGAAACTTAATTTTTCAGCAAGATGGCAGATTTGTTTTTTAAGCTATAAGTAAATTGAGTCCTTTTGCTGGTTGCCCTGCAGGGGATACTGTGAAGTCAGGGGGAGGGAGGGGCAGTGTTCATGGGCAATCACGAATATCATTGGTTCTTAGGAGGACACAATTGTCAACTTGCAAAAATGAAAAGATTCAATAATTCAGTAAACCAATACATTGACAAAGTAATTAATTGATCATGACAAAATGTAAATTTATGTTAATTAAGGGTGGATGGCCATTTTAAACATTGCAATTGGTCACCCACTAATGTAACAACAAGGATGTAATAATGTGAGTACCAGACTGAGTGCTTAGATTGAGACACTAGCTGGTCTCAGGTTTAAGAATTGTCACACATTCATTCAAGCCTCTTTTCATTTTACTGATTCAGAGGCTTCAAAAAGAATTGTTAAAGGGATTAGGGGAATAATACTGTTCATTAATGGTTAAAAGGTAATTTAAAAATATATATGCAAAATAATGATTAATTGTAAAAAATGATGGAAGTAAATAATGAAATAAAAATTTCTCCATTCTTATTCAAATTTCTGAAAAAATTAATTGGATTAAAGGTTTGATGACAAGATGACATCTTAATCTGAGGTATTGACTAAATCAAACAATTGCTGCAATATGTTGACAAAGTAATATCTCATGGAGCAGCCAGGTCTTAAACAACTTCTTGCTTATAGTGACAGGATTGTATTGTGAGGCATAAAACATGTTTGTAAGAGGGGATGGGGCCCGCGGGTCACAGCTGCTGCTGGGTTTCTGAAGTGTCTGTCACTGAATAGCTGATGTTTATGAGGCGATTGATCCGTGATGGACTGTGACAAGATAGGACAGTGATTTACACGCCTTGATTCCAGTTTTCTGTTTGTTGTAGTGCTGAATCTAGTCCCGACTCTAGCCACAGCGGAGAGGACTCGTTCTCTAAGGTAAAATGACTAAAACTATCTCCATAGCAACCAAGTATGAAACTTAAATTTTATTGGTAGAGAAAAACTTGTCTAATCTGGGGACCTCTGGTTCCAGAGAAATTTGCCAGATTAGTCAATATCCTGGTTTAGACAGCATTATAGCTGTAAGATTTAACTTGACATTTTGTAAGACTAGATTTTCGGAAAACTCTATACCTAGATTTATATAGACAAGTTCCACTGTACTTCGACATCTTCAGATGAAGCTTACTAGTATTCAGTTGATGCATTAGTGGTGAAATACTGTGAAATCACTAATTTTTGTGGGGGGTTAATTTTCCTTGTTTTCGAGGTATAGAGAGACCCACTTTATGACCACCATGAAATGTAAAATTTGATATGCAGCTATACTAAACATTTTTCAATTATGAAATCGAATCACCACAAATCAATATTTTTCCTCAAACCTCGAAAATTTGACCCCTCGAAAATACGTGATTTTACAGTAGTTAAAAGAGTCGAATTTTGACTGAATATATCATCTTTCTTGTACTCTGAAAAAATGTTTTCAATGTATTTACCTGTATGTAGAGTATCGGTATACCATATGTAAATGCCTCTCGTTAAAACAGATGCATAAAGTATTTGTCAGTAGAAGTTTTCCCCCATTAGCTTGTATTTAATATGAAGATTAAATGGAATTGCTTTTTTTATCACAATTTGTTTTGAACAAGCTTTGAATATGTTTTTCAAAGTGTGACTGACATTAGGTCAGAGGTCAACAAGTGACTTCAGATTTCAGGATCACAAGGTCAGAGAGGTGATAATTGAAATAAGTGACTTTAGGTGGTTTAATTAAATTGTACTTTAAAATTTAAAAATAAATGATAATTTGCTTTAAATCTATTGACAGATTAATGTACCAACAATTCAAATTCTCTGAGAAATTAGGCTAAATGTAGGATTACTTTGGGTCAACTCTTAGTTCATCTAGTAAGAATCTTTTTTAATGACTTTTAAATGTATTTTGAAAAAGTTTAAATTGTAAATTGTGTTCTGGTTGGAAGATCAATAAACACAAATTTATACATTTGGAATGATCATGATGATAGAACATGCTTTAGACCGGATTAATAACAAAGTTATATCTTTTTTTGATTGGAAAGTTGATTTTCTTGGATAATTTATTTATATTTAAACCAGGTATGGTTGAATGAATGCTTAAGATTTAGTTATGTATTTAAAAAAAAAAACCTTTGAAAATACACTTAGTCTACAACTTTATACTTTGTTTACCTAAATATATATGGTACCATGCAATTACACTAATTGTTCAAATAAAATGCCTCGTGCTCCTTAAAGGGAGATAATTGAGAAGTGGTGTAATTTGATTGAATCATGTAAGAAACTACAAGAACCCACTAGACTTGAGAAAAAAAGTCAAATAATGAGATGTAAACTTCTTGTATAGTGTTGATTTAAGTTTTCTGGGTTGCCAGAGGGAGTCATAAGTAAGAAACCCCCTAAAGATCATGGCCACTGGAGCTAACAGGAAAGGGTCCAAAGTTCTCCATAATCAATTTTTAAAAAATCAAATTCTTGAGTATAATTTTCTTGTATATTCATGTAAAATTAATAATGATTTCTATAGGAGACATATTTACAAGTTGAATTTTTATGCATTAATATAATTTTACCATAAGGATGCTCTGTTTTGTGTTATTTTTAGCATGAGAAGTTTGCGGGGAGGAGAGTAAGCCCCCCTGTACCGTACCGCATCGCTAAAGCTTTGGACCCCGTCATATACAGAAATACTGAACTCGATATCTGGGAGGAAGAAAAACGAGGTAGGAATCTAAAAAATTATTTAAAAAAAAAAATTCTAATAGTTTCATTTATTACAAAAACTAAAGAAAAAATTGGTCCTCCTTTTGATTTGATCAGATTTCATCCCAATTAAACAGTACTGAAAATATCTGACATTTCTAACAAATTGGAAAATATTTTATAAAAATTATTTAAGATTTATGAATTTTCATAAGAAGAACTGAATAATGTGAATATACAATCTCTTGGATTTTTAAAAAAAAAATTTTTTTCAAGTTGTTAATTAACCTTGTAATTTATAGATAGAATCATGTGAAGTATAAGAACATGTAATATCCTGAATCTTTGGCTCAAGTTTTGATTGAGTGCTGTTTTTTTTTTCAATCAGTTTATTAATTTTAAAGTCTAGAAATTAAGACAATTTGAAAAAAATCCAATTGATGAATTATATAAACTTGATAGACATGATTCAAGGCCAAAGCGAACAAGGCAAAAAAAATGAGTTTAATTTTTCTAGGGGGGGGGGATTGGAAGTGATAAAGCAAAGTGTTTTAATTTTAATGAATTTACATGCAGAGATTCTTTTAAATGGTCATTACAGCAGTTATTCGAAAAGGTCTCCAAACATCCATTTATCTTGTTGTCTAGCTGTGATGTCATATGAAACCAATGATGGAGAATCAAAATATAACATTCTCAAAGGCTAGAATGTCCCCATTGTCTGTTGTGTGGATTGTTTTGTGTCATAATATTTGATGTTTGACATGGTGTATTGGTCACTGTTGACAGTGTGTTAGTCAATACTGAGTATTAAAGGGGGTTTTATAAAAACTCCAGCACATGTTATCTTAACAGAGAATACATAAAACAGATTAACTTTCAATTATCTGATTTGTTTTGCCTTGTACTTGTCAATTCAAATCCACAGATTTAAAAAATAAAGTAGAATATCACAATGCTGTCAAGTGAATTGGAGTTTTGAGAGCTATGAAAGTGATAAAATCCTCAAAAGAGAGTAAGAGTAAAACAGGAGAATTTAATGTTGTAGTTGATAAGATAGAGAAATTTCTTTAATTACTATAAATCTGTTGTATTGTAGAAGCCATTCATAGAGAGCGCTACAAGTCAGTGACGTTCTCCGCAGGGGATAAATGTCAGGTAAGAGTTCTCTCCCTTGTTTCTTACATTATTCAAGTTGCGCATATAAAGGGTCGAGCACAACAAGTCTGTGAAGTCTCCAAGGGGGAATTATATCTGGCAAGTGTTCTCTACTATATGTTATATGCAAGTTAAATTATAAGGAGCTAGCACTATAGAAGTCCGTGATTTCTTCGTGAGGGCAAAAATGTCAGATAAGAGTTCTCTCTCTTGTATACTTCAATAAACAAGTTTTTTAAGCATTTTAATGGCTTTATAAGACTTTTATTGCCCAAGGAAATAGGCTTATTTTTGGGGAACTGAAATTTTTGTTTACTCTCTCAATTGTATGCTTAATTATATTGCTGTACATTTTGTAGGAGTGTGGCATTCATAAGAATAGGGACATAAGTCATGCATAGTACATTACCGTCGGTTTTTAGTCCATATTGTATTTTATACATTAATGCCCTGTAAAATGTTGATATTGGATTTAAACACCAAAGAAATGATTGCAGATAGATTTTTGGAGTAGGTATTCTTTAGAGGTAGATGGGGTTCAACAGGCCAAATAAGGAGATAACATCTCTTGCTGTAACTGTACACTGGGTAGTATGGTACACCCATCAGGGGTAATGGAGGCAACTGGGCAGGCTTAATAGGGCAGGAAAAATTGGTCAATATATACATCTTAAAGATACCCGTTACAGGTGAAAGGTACTCTAAGACATTGGTAAAAGGCATCTTTATTGAAACCATGGAGGTTACCCGCTGCATTCAACTCATTTAAGTCCTTTATGCATTTAACATAATCTTTTCTTGAATGGTTGCATATAAATATCAAGAGTATTTTATCATGATCACTGACATGAAGTGTTGAAGACCAGAATGCACTTTATAAAATGTACAAAAAGTTGACTCTGCACATACAATGTTATCTCAATACAACCCAGGTATTCAGGAAGGGAAAGAGTCTTGTGTGGAGCTAGGCTACAGTTAATTCACCTTAAAAAGATTTTTATCTTGTGTTCATCCATTAAATCAATTAGGATGCAAAAAGGTTAATGTGATTAATTTAAATATAGTACTAGTGCTTGTCGAATTATCACAATACAGTTGATGTACAGTGTGGTGAATTTCATGGACATATGAACCCAATGTGCATACTTTGCAGAGTTCTTTATTTTGTTGACGATGTATGAATTTTCATCAGTCTTGTGCACCTGTAAGTTTTTCAAGGTTCCAAAGAGTTTGTGTACTTTTTACTTGTAAGGAGCATTTAGACCCTTTTATAGGTAAGATCATATAGCTTATATTTGGTTTTTAGCTAAATTAATTGGATCAAAAAAAAAAGATGCGTCTATAAAACGGATGTGAAAAAGATGAGTCATTTTCAAGCATGGCACTGAACAGAGAGTCTTAATAGTTCTAGTGTGAATTATCTCCCTGTTACGTTGACTGTCCTGCCGACTTGAAGATCCTGGGTGATGCAGTCTATGAGGATGAAGACATTAGACAGTGGTCTGACAGGTTTATAGTCACTACAGGCCAGACGGTGTGTTTGATAAAGCACTTTTTATAGGTCTGCAGGCATAAGATCATATAGCTAGGAAATATATTTGGTTTTTGATGCTTATGATTTTGGAAATTGCAAGTATAAGCGACAATTTCTTGTTTATCAGCAGTCCGTAAATTACACAAATAATTAAAAAAGAAATTTTACCCATGGCCTCTTTTCATATATCTATAAATTTGAAATGTTACCTAATTCAAATTTTGGATATCATATAATCATAATGATATTTTCGGTATTGCTTGGAGAAATATAAAACGGATTAAGTGTGAAAAAGAGTGTGAGTCATTTTCAAGTATCAAATACTGTATGTAAATAAAGCAAACTGAAAAAACAGAGAGTCTTTTTTTTTGATTGACTAGTTTTCTCATAGTTCATAGTGTGATACTGTCAAAGATATTCATCACATACGTTGTATTGTGACCGCTATCCACCTATTCTTATTTTTAAAAATGTCATATTAATACATTGTATGAGTATATTTTATACAATTACCCCCTCTTTCATATGGTAATGATTGGTCTATGGATACAGATACAGTACAACTTATGATTATTCTAGTAACATGACTATTTTGCGATATACATATTCGTCATTTATCAAAACTTCCATCATTGATGAATAGCAATGTGCTAGCATACTACTTGCTATTAGGATGAAAATTGACATGTTCTAATTTTTTAAATTAACTGGTTGGGAGAACATACAAAATTTTAAAAACTTGTCATTCAAATATTTAAACGAATAAAATTTTGGCTTTAAACTGGTGATTTCCCTGATTGAATACTCTTTCGTGCCCTAAAAAAATCAGGTTTAAAGTAAACTTTTATAAAATTTCATATCAGGCCAGACGGTGTGTTTGATAAAGCACTTGATTTACAAGCTGTATAAGATATTTTATAATATCAAAAAATGCAAACATTAAAATATACTAAGGTCACATGGACATGTAAATGGATTTTCTTTTTTATGTTATCTTTCCCGTAAAATGTCTCCAAAATTATACATTTTTATCGATAAATCTCAAGAAACAAGTGTTCATTGTAAGTTAGGATGTCCTAACTTAAGATGCATTTTCTCCTTGTTGGGACAAATCTCTGAAAGTTTCATGAACATGACTGCTGGCATTGCGCCTGGTATATGATGTAGGAGATTTTTTTCCTTGGATATTCATATGTGCACCATATGGATTCCTTGTATGATGGATTAACATGGTCATTGTTACTTATGGGGTTATTGGGTCAAATGTCATGGCTTTAATTCACAAAAAATGATTATCCTGACTTCATAGTTGTAAAACAAATTAAAGTACTGAGCTCATTTTAGACTAAATGAAATTCTAGACAATATTTCTCAGACTAGTATTAACTCACATTTTGAATTGGAATATAAAATTGAAAAAAATTTTGTAATTTGGCAGCTCTTGCATATACTGTAGATTCTGAAGTATTTTTTTCCGTGTGGTATTATTTTATGCTAAGTACGGGTAATATTTCTTCCGCTGAAATTTGTCTGAGCCTATACTTAATATAAATGTAAGGTATATAGTGACAATCTAGAAAATCTGCATAATTTTCTACCCTCGGATTAAACAGAAACTGAGATTGCATGGAATTATGACCTTGTGGAAAGAAGTACGTCCACTGAGTATATGAAAACGATAAGCTTTAGTCAGTTTAAATTGTTGAAATCTTAATAAAATGACCTAATTAGTTAAGCATAAGTTGTATCAGGATAATTGTAATCATGACATATTGTTCATTAATTATCATGTAGAAGCCTAAAAATGTCAATTTCCTCCCTTCACCAATAAAGATAGATAAAAAAAAAATTATATATAAAAGATAAAATTTTAAGAGACAGTTTTATTATTAAGATATATTTATACGTCAAGAGATGAGGACTATTTTAATGGCCCCAAATAAAATGCATCGTAATGATCAATAAAAATTAAAATTTCTGTGAGTTTCTTTGAGTTCAATATCTATAGAAACATGGGGTATATGAAGTATCAGGCTTTATTTACAATGATTTGTAGATGTACATCCCTTGATTCTTCCTTTCTTTAACACAACTCCACCCCTCTCCTATTCACATCTTAAGTCCTTGGGTGTTTTCCTTTTTTCTGGTACATTAATTATATATGGATTGAATACTGTTGATTGAGGCGAGTGTGTTGTGGTGATTTGACGCGACTCTAAAATCAACGCCTTGCAGTTTCTTATCTACGTATTTTTTATCACCTGCGAGCTCGACTTCACATCGTTCTATAGATGGGGACCTAATGAGAAAAAATCATATTTTAATGTATTTAAACTGACTGAACACATTAAAAATGAGTGTTCAAGAGAAATGATGTCAAGGGAAGAGAGAGTTGTGTTTAGAGATGTTTTCTTCCCTCTCTGTTGGTGATATTAAGTGTTCTGTTGATAACCAGGAGTTACCTGCTCATATCTCAGGTCAGGAAATTAAAACAGGTAATTAAACAGAGATCATCTTGTAAAAGGTATTTAAGGAACAGTTACTTTATCTCCTTTAATCTTTGGGTAATATTTAAAAATTTACGTGGATATAATTATCTTCAGGTATTTTCCCCCCAACTCTTTTCAACAAAAGTACAAGGTTTATTTTTTTCTCTTGAAATTGCTGCAGATAGTGTAGAATGAAGTTTATTTTATTCATGACATCTGGAATGGGAGTGTGTGTGGGGGGGGGGGGGGGGGGGGGGTATTGGAAAAGGAGAACAGAACGAATTTCATGGAAAAGTTTTTTTCTATAACCTCAAACTTGTAAGCTTTCTTGATAGAAAGGTATCCAGTGTCTGTCTGTGAAGTTACAGGTGTCCTTTTTTTTTTATTAGTACAATTTTTACTTAATAAATTCTCAAATTTCAAACAAACTTGCCACAAAGCATCCATAGATAAAAGGGATTGAAGTCTCTTAGATGAAGGACTACACCTTCTTTCATGGGGAGATAAGTAGGAATTAGTTAAAACTTGAATGGAATATTTAAAAAATACTTTGAAAATATGATCCCAACAAAAATGACTCTAATTATACCCACTCAACATATTGCTGGAGGTATGATGTTTTTGACCCGTCCATCTGTCAGTCAGTCCGTCCGTCAGTCCTGTTTTTTTTTTTTTTGTAAGCGCAACTCCTCATAAACCGCTACAAAGAACTTGTCAAACTTTGCAGATATTTAGGACATAATGTATAGATGTGCATATTACCAGGAAATTCTGATTCCTTCATTTTTTTCGGGAATTTCTGCACTTTTACACTTATATTTTTGGCCATATCTTGAATATAGAGATGAACAGTTTGTCAGCGCAACTCCTCATAAACTGCAGCAGAGAATTTCGTCAAATTTGCAGTTATTTAGGACACAATGTGTAGATGTGCATATTACCAGGAAATTCTGATTTCTTTATTTTCCGCACTTTTCAACTTAGATTTTTGGCCATACATTGAATATAGAGATGAACAGTTTCTCAGCCGACTCTTAAACCGCTGCATGGAATTTCATCAAATTTTGCAGATAATTAGGACACAATGTGTAGATGTGCATATTACCAGGAAATTGAGATTCCCTTTTTTCCTTGGCAATTTCAGCACTTCGGGTTTTGGGGGAGCGTGGGGTATATGAGCTTGCTCACTTTTTCTTTAATTTTATTTGTTAGAGAGAAATATCCACCAGTTTTGCAACCTTTCTTTTCTCTCAAATATTTCTTGTCACAAGCCAATTATTCACCTATGTATTTTAACGTTTCTTAGGTAGAAAAAATTAGTTGTCCTGGGTTAAGATATTTCAAACTAAAGAATTGCAAAAAAGGTGTTGCAAATAATTGTTGGTTTTACAATAATGAAATAACGTTAACTTTAGTACATTTTATATGTCATGACAGGTTTTGTCCACACAAGGTCCTTTGTATCATGGACACATTCAACAGATAGGACCGGAAGCCACTGATCCCGCCATCGTCTTCATAGAGGAGCTCGGAGAAAAGTACGTTAACATCTCCTCTTTTCTTTTGTGTACATTTATATGACATATGTCAAGATGTTGAAGGGAAATCTAATTTGATTCATGATTTTTCTTACCTACGACAGTGAATTTCATTATAACCCTGATAATGTCAAGTTTTTAAAATGATAAATCAATTTTTCTTCATCCCTGAATCAATGATGTTTTGTATTATACTATTGTGATAAGAGAGTCTATAATTTTATAAGACTATATGTTGCAAGGAGATCTGAGATGGAGATAAATAGCGTTATTGATGTGTGCGGTCGAGTTGTAAGCATTGATTTAAGGGGTGTTTAAGATTCTGTCTTTGTTTTGGTACAAGATGTGCATCATCTACTGATAAACTGATCTGATAGACTGGTGTGATTGTTTTCAGGCAAGAAGTAAGCCGAGATAGACTGCGGCCAGCCAAAGCTTCAGGGAGATCAGGTAATTGTATACAGTGTATATATACTGTAAAATCACATATTTTCGTGGGATCAAATTTTCATGGTTTGAAAAATATCTTGGTTTGTGGGAATTTAATTTCTTGGATCAAGAATTAATGAGTACTTCTGTATGTAACAAGATATATTTCGTGGTGGACATGAACTCATGGGTCTCCTCATTACCTCGAAAACAATGAAAATTAAATCCCCACAAAAGTTTGTGATTTCAAAATATATGTTCCGTAGTTGATTTAATCATATTTTAAACCTTGTTCTTGGAAATGACTTCTTGGAAACTTTGAGTGATATTCACTTTGGGATTAAGGTCTTTCATTTAGAGTATACAGTTGCATGAACTTTGATTTTTTTTTTTTAACACGGATACATTTTGAATATCATGGATAAGTCAAAGTGATCAAAAGTCCCAACCACTTATTCTAAGTATTTTACCTCTGATACACTGTATCTAAAATCTCTAGTTATTCTGACAATTTTTTGGTCTTATTGAATTTGAGAAACTGAAGTTGGACTGTATATTATACTTAATTTTGATTGGACTGACTAATACTGCCACAAACCACTCAGAATATCTTAGAGTTTGATTCTATCTCTTCATGGAAAAAAATTGAGCGCATGCAACTAAAAAGCAAAGAGACATTAAGTTTCAGGAGGCATTAATGAGATACTGTTGTTTTCAGTGTAAACTTATAAAAGGACTAATAAATTGTTGTCCACACGCCACAACTTTCTCATATATATACGAGACACCACCATCATATACTGGTGAAGGACTTCAAATTTTTACTCTGCACTCGGGTCATTGAGCTGAGTGAGTGAGGTTCTTGTATATAGTGATAATGCCCACTGTGACACAGAAATTCAGCTTGTTAAGAACCAAGGTTTTTCCTTCAAAAGTGTTAAGCAAAGGAAAAATCTACCAAATTTAACTTAATTCAGGTGTGGCACAGCTCCTAGGAGGAGAATTTAACCTGGAAACACATAATAAAGAAGGATTTTAGCACCCCACCACCCTCAGTGGACAGATTTTTAAAAAAATTGTCAATATTGTCAAAAACATGTCTCTTTATGTTGTCATGATGTCATTATAAACTTTACGGTACCATATTAGTTTTGTAAAACATCTGACCCCCCCCCCCCCCACAAAAAAAAAAAAAATGAAGGCTTTTATTTCATTCAACCTTAGTAACTTTTATTTTATTATTTAAGGAAGATTTACAGGTTATATGGATAAGAAATGAATGATGCAATTATTTGAATTATTCCATGATCAAAGGTACCATTTAAATTTGTTCTTTCAGTGCAGAGAGATAAATGGAATAAAAATTTATGATCCAAAACAGTCCAATTTAATATGCACCTTATACACCTGAAAACTATAGAATTGTGAAGATTATAAAATTGCTGAATAATGATGAGAATGTTGCTCTGTCGTGTATGTAGCTAAAGTGCACCTAAAAGAAGTAACTGAAGAAACTGGCTTGGACAGACGATGAACATCCCTTTGTTGCTCCAAGTTTTTCTTTTAAATTATTTTACAAACAAATATAAAAATATTAAATTATTTGAATCATGTTAAAACAGAATTTAAACATAATAAAAATGTGTACATGTATAACAGAATTAATGTACACTACATTGTTATACAATTGAGTTCCCATTTGTCCTTTTTCAATAGCTTTTATTATTGTAAGTTACGTTATAGCAAATTGAGACACCACCACTTTCCAGACCTACACTTGGCACTTCTGGTCATTGAGTAGTGACTCAGGTGTCTATTTTGTGCCAGGATATACTGATGCCATACAACTTTCTGGATTGGTGTCATCTTAAAGAATGCATATCCTGGGGATTTCAACCCCCAAACATGAGGATGAACTTTGTACTATGTGACTTCAAGCAAATACTCTGCATTTTGAGAAGAAGGTTTTACAAATTTTTTTCCTTTACAGAGTGGTTCCTTAAGCAGCTGAGGAGGAAGAGGGTAAGAATTCTATTTAAAAAAAAATCAATTTGGAAAATAATAAACCAGTTCATGAATATTGTTTCACAGAATTAATGAACAATATTGAAGCAGCTTCACCCTTTTAAAGCTATAAAGATGCATTCGAAAGCTGGATTTTTAAAAAAAATGTGACATGGTGATGGCATCTACCGATGTCTTTGTACTGGGAATAAGGTGATTATTGTTGTGTTATTTTATTTAGTTGCAGGAGATGACAGTGACACAAGACAGAATGCCCCCTATGATGCCTCAGAGTCTTCCCCCACCCCCCATCCAAGTTGTGCCCACCTCTCCCCTACCCCAGGGTAGGTATACAAAACACAAGACATGATCCCCCCCCCTTGGCTATGATGCCTCAGTCTCCCCCCACCCCCCAGGGTAGGTATTGGGAGGTGAAATATTTGTAGATGTTGAGGGGTTGGGTACATATTGTGAATTTGGGTAGATCATACAAAGTTGTAGATAAAGAAAAGTAATGTATTGTTAATGTAAAGGAAGAAAGCTTTTATACAGTTTTCTGGTCCAGCGTATAAGCATGCATTTAAGGAATCTATTTAGATTAGAAGAGCTTATGATAGATGAAGTATTTTTTTACTAATTATACTTTAAGAAATGAAATGTATGTTCTACAGATTTAGAAGTGAGGATTAATTTTAAATTGCTCTGTTCTTCCAGAGGTTAACAGCAGCATTATTTTTCTCTGTTCTTCCAGAGGTTAACAGCAGCATTATTTTTCCAAAATGGCAAATTCTGAGTTCCAGTCCTGGGCCCATACAAGCAACTAAACCAGAGGTATTAATAGATAGAACATTTCATGTAATGTGTTCTGAAGTAGAGTTGTCTCCCTTTGGAGGCAATTTAATGTCCATTATATTGAAAATGATTTTATTTTTAGATGACAGTGTAGTGTTTTATACTTGTTCACTTTTTCCAGTCATTTTATGATGTTTCCAACCAAGCCAAAAAGAAATATCAATATTTTTTCTCTAATCATAAGTTACAGAACATTTAATGTAAAATTTATATGTCTCTCTATATATAATACAATTATGACATTGTTTTTCTGTCTGGTCAGTCGCTGGGCTCCTACCCCCCAGGCCCGCCCCCCGAGATGTCCCTGATCCCGGTGTCTCAGGTCCAAGTCCCCAGGATCTGGGTCCCCTACATGGACAGTATCGCCCTGTCTAATGTGGACGTCAACATCCTCCCTTCCCAGGATTCCATGGGGCAGGATCTACCAATCAACGGTAAAGTGTATAGAGTAGAAGCTTGTAATCTTTGTTATCAGGTCTTAAAAGAGGGGCTAGAAAATATAGGGATAGATAAGCAAATTTAGTGCAAAGGTTCTCAATGTGTTGCATGCTGAAAGGAAAGTTAAGTACTGGCTGATGAATCTTCAAGTTCAGAGAGAGGGGGCTAAAGTGTTACCGGGCAGAATAAAAGTTTCCAATTAAATTTTTTTCTTTCTCACATTGATATAATGGACTTAATTTCTCCAACTGGTATTGGGGTTCGTGGCTTTACTGTTCTCTTTACTCTGACTAGCATTTGGGATGCATATATTGTGAAATACTTGTTATAACCAGAATTTCAAAATTCATGTAGAATAAATTCGAGCAAATTTTAGAAATGTGAGATAAATGTATTGACATAAGTTAACATTATTCTTCCAGACATGAATACTCTACGCTTTTTCTTCAATGTTGGAGTCGCTGTAAGTACAAAATATGTTTAAAAACCCTAACCCTGAAAACTGAAAAATTGATTTCAAGTGTATTGACCCACAATTTCAGATTAAACTTAACATGCCATGAAATATGATTTATAAAGTCAATGCCTCTCTTTTACTTTTCCATTTTTTATACACGAGACAAACAGAAAATTTTAATAGAAATAATTGTAATGGAATTACTGTGGAATCATTATTGTTCGTGGGGGACCAATGTTCGTGGCTTTCATGGGTAGCCCTGACCCACGAATTTACATCCCCACGAATGTATATACAAACACATATTTTATTATTTATTAAAAGTTATGATGACACAGACTATTTTATATCGTAAAATAACCGTTACCCTTGTGTCCGTGTGATCGTGCATAAAGAAGACAATCTGTATGTGGTTATTGACACAAAACCAAAATAAAAAAAATTAAGTATCAAAGACAGAGAATAAAGTCATTGTCATTGTCAAGACATCAATTACTATGAATAATAAATACAAATGTTAAATTTGAGTAGTGTTTACGTTACAGTCCAACACGCTCATATGTCCCTTTGATGAGGTCAATTATCAGTGCGATTTTAGAGTAGTGCTAATTAGCCAATTATTAAGTAAATTTGGGCATTGTCGTCGTTCTCATTGATTTAGAGATTTAAAAACATGTTCCGCTTATCACTGGTGTTCTTTTAATTTTAATTTTATTTACTGTGACATCAGGGCTGTAATTTGGCGTTGCAAGCCACTGGTACATTTTTGTTTTCACAAGAGAGATAACTTAAATAAGCAAAATTGACGGAGTTATCCTTCTTTATTTTAACTTTGGAGAAAAAAAACGAAATAAAACTTGTTACCAAGTTGAACGAAATTACGTCCCCACGAAACAGGAAATTTTTGGCTACCCATGAACATTGACCCCCACGAATAAAAATGATTTCACAGTACAGAAATGATGTATGCCTTGGCAGAGAAATGAATTAACCCTTAAGAGTCAGAGTTAATTTTTCAAAACTGATTAAGCTATGGTTATGTACAGATGTTTACAGGAATTTAATTTGAAATGTTTTTTAATACAGCACTATGGCTTGATAAGTCAGCAGGCATTAGCCAATAGAGCAGCATCACAGGGAAACATCCAGCCAATCATATACTGCCAGGCCAAGCCCCCGATGGCGCTTCCTCAGATCGGTAATTGTACCTTCTCTCTTCACTCTCCTCCCCCAGCCTCTAACTCCGATGATGAGAGTAGCAACATGTCTAATGACAGCGGATGTGACGCAGACGAAACCACAGCCTCTCACAAGAAGTCCGTGGGGGCTAGTGAAGCTAACTCTCCTGTCAGGGAAGGGGAGAACTCTCCAGTAGGGGAGGCAACTGACTCGAGCACCGCTCAGGTGGAGAACCCGAGCTGTGAGACGGAGAGTCGCTGTTCAGACATGTCTCTCACTGACACCTCTGATGGGGCCATTACTATAGAGAACCAGGAACAGGGCGGGGCTAAACAATACAAACCGCGCAGAAAGTATTACATGTACGGCAATCTGAAACTGATCAAACCCATAAAAGACGTACCAAAACGATTCATGGATCTCCTCACCTCTATGAATGCGGAGAAATCCCGCGTAGAGGGAGAGCCAATCATAATGGCCGCTCCCGCACAATACAAATCTGACAGAACAACTAACTGTCAATTTAACCCTAATGCCCCGAGCTTTGTTCCTGGTTCACATGGTGATAGGGCACCTGTCAATGGTAATCATATTAATATTCCCCTGTCATCATCATCATCTAATGTGTATTACCCCTCACAGCTTATATCATTGCCTAACTCTAATGTATCATATCATAGTAGCTCAGTCATTAGTACCCACCCTCACTTTCAACGTAATCCTCTTCACACAGGTTTCCCTCCACCCCTTCCTCCCATGAACAACCCCCCTTCTTCCAGCTTCGTGACCGTTAACAGCATGCCGCATTAGTCCCGCTGATGGTGGTGGTGTCCTTAAGAGCATGCTGCATTACTGCCGCTGGTGGTGGTGGTTAAGGAACTACAGATACTTGGTAGACTAGTCATTTGTTTTATGCTCAACAAAAGAAGATGAACAATGCTTGCGAAAGCTTATAACTTTGCTTCACCTGCACCTTTTAGATCATGAGATTTAGTGTGTTGTAAGATTTTATATTGCAGAATTTTTCTGCAGAGTTTCATAGGAATTTTACAAACTGAAGATGATTTGATCTGAATATTATGTCAGTTTTTATCTAAGTCAGACACACGTCTTTTTAGACTCGCTTTGTAATTGTCTTTTTTAAGGAAGAATCTTGAGTGAAATTATAGAGTTAGTTTGATTCTTCATCATTAATATCAGAAAAGACCTTGCTACGAGCAGTTCACCTTAAAATATTTAAAATTTTTTAAATGCACAAGAGTTTCATCCCTTTTTACAATCAGAATTTTAGCAGTTAAAATGATGATTTTTTTGTACAATTAACCATATTTTGCCAATATCCAGTAAAATATCCCATCTCTAGTTTTAAAATGAATTGTACAAGTGCAGACGGATGTAAAGCTTCTGTTTACCATGGTGATGGGATTATATCAATTGTTCTGGTGTAGGTAAAGTTAATACTTTGTGTACTACAGAATTTTCTTAAGCAAATCATATCTTCCTTACAATATATTGGTGCTATTTCACTTTCTCGCTCTATACCATTTGGATAAAAATCATATATTGTGGAACAAGGGGATGTGTTCAAGAAATATAGCTATGTAGAGCTACAGTCTAAGCTGCTATATTAATCTTTAATGATGTGCTTGCCTAGCAGCTACTCTGTAAAATATCTTAGATATCTTATTTTAGCTTCCTTCAACTGTTACTGCATTTGAAAACACGAGAGATGCTTACATTCAAGTAACTTCATCATGTATAATTCCTATCTATCCAATATTTACCTTGTTCAAGTGTGATATAAGTATGCTAGCTTAATTTTAGTAGTAGCCAAGATCTTGAATGCAGCCTTGGAATCACAAGCTAATGATTAATTTTTATCTCTATTTCTGAATAGAGAAGTAACTCTATTTCTGAATAGAGAAGTCAGTGTCGTGATGTCAATCATGCAAGTTCAGTAATTATGCCAGTATATACCCTTTCTGATTCAGGGTAAATAACACAAACTTTTTTCAGAAATCAACAGTATTTTTCATATGTTACATGGATATTCAAATATGTATAACCTCAATATCATTTGCCATGTAACCTCAATATTATTTGCCATGTCAATTGCAAGTGGGAGAACTTGGTATGATATTGTCACAATGTCAAATAAAGGGGGATCCAAAGTTTTTTAAACGTTAAGCACCAGAAAAAACTTACGAATTCCTTTTTTTAGGGATTGATAATTACGTCGTTTCCATTTAAAATCTGAAGTCAAGAAATATATACCATTTCCAGGAATCAAATTATTGTTTGTGTTAGGTATCCTTCATGGGCAATTTCTGGCATCTTTTCTACATATGGGGTCTCCCATGACTTATAGTTGGGTATCATTTTCATCCAATGAGTTGGGTGTTTTTTTATCCCCTAGCCTTGCGACGGTTTAAAAACACACAGTGAGTTGGATAAAAATCATATCCAACTACAAATCATTAGAGGTTCTTTTTATCCCATGTTTATTAATTCACAATCAATGTTTTACACAGTTTTTGTATAAATATGACTTCACTTTATTTTACCTCATTATTCCAAACAAAAACCCAGTGACGTCACAACTGTGGGATAAGAAAACGATATCACGTGAGCTATATCCTACATCCACGGGATAAAGGGATAAACATGGGATAAAAATTCATATTAATAGTACTATTATTCTTGTTAATCATTTTTTTTTATAGTCAATTTTTTTCAAAATGCTCCATCTTGTAAAATTAACTATATTTGGTCAGTATTTTTGTCCACTTTATTTTTTAACAGATGCTGAGTATTTGTGTATATGACTGATTTTTTGATCTTCAAGTTTTAAGTAAAATTTTTTCTTTTACTACTGAGTTTTTTCTTCTCAGTTGATCTGATCTATTTGTACAGAAAATTTAGTAGCCTTATAAAAGTGTTGTTTATTGTGTTTTTTAAAACTTAAATGTGATTTGTTGATGGTGATTTGACTTAATTGTATTTTTCATTGTTTATTGATCTTTAAGTTTTGTTTTCTTTTCTTCTTTTTGTTGTTCCAATATATTTTAGAAGTTTTGATGTAGAAAAAAGTTGTTTGTAGTACATTATGACAAATGATCCCAGTTTGTAATGCTATAGGTTCTCTTGTGTGTAGATGTCTTGATATATTATGCAATATGTCGGAGATTAACACTTGTTTATTATTTTTAACTTGCTAAATCATCTATAAAACTCTTATGTGTACATACATAATCATTAGACCTTTAAACTTGAGTACTATAAGCTAAATTTTATAGAGAAAGATGTTGACCACACTGCCTCTTTTTATAAATCTGGAATCTTTTTACTTGTCAATTCTTTATGTACATTCTGATTTATATAATGATAAAAGAAATAATGCAACTGTTCAGCTCAGCACAGACTGCTTAGTACCCAAGCTAGGACTGAAAGGTGAGCGCAACATCTTTTAAAATGTTTGATGTATGTATTTTAATTAGTGTTTTAACTTTTGATAGAAATCCAATTGAATATGTGATCTCGAGTTTTTGCGAAAAATTTATATGTGATTTCATGTTACATTCCAAGTTTTCTATGCAATTATGCATTTTGCAGCAATCCCTTATGGGATACAGCTATTTAGGTATTTAATAACTTTTGAAATCCCAGATTCTGGAAAGTTTTCATTGTAGAGTACATCTTTACATTGTTTTTTTTTTCCTTCAGGATTTGATCGTCAGATCATATGCATAAATTATGTCTTAATTGATCTGAGTTTTATTAAAATTTGTGAAGAAAATATTTGACTGAATACCTGAAATTTGTGCCTTTCAATTGTTTAATTTGTTTAAAGTTTGTTGTTAGTATTTAGAAATAACGAGGTGTAAAAAATTATTTATACAATTGCTGTTCATTGATTGTTATTCTTTTATTAAAATTTAGTGCTTGTTCCTTACTTCTGACTTGTATATGTACATTGAATACTGCGTATAGTTGTCTGTCTTGGGTCATTAATTGAAAGGCGTTAGGGACTAATATATGTACTTATTTCATTTCCACTGAACATGTTATGGATTGTGCTTAAATAACGGGGTACAAGAAACGCTGAAACATAAAAATGTGATGTTATGGCAGGGTTGAATTTTCTCAAATGCATGTCAAACCCGAAAGGACAAGGTCAAAAGTTCAAAATTGTTGGTGCCCAAAGGAAGGTCTTGTGACAATAAATACACCTTTAAAATATGTAAGCCCTAGTCCTGTTCAGTAGTTATGGCCAAGGTTAAAGTTTCTTAGAGGTGGTTTAAACTCTATGGTCAAGGTCAAATATATATTATACCTTATGAAAGGTCAATGTCACGATAAATACACTTGTGAAGTATGAAAACCTTAGCACCAACTGTTCAAAAGTTAGGGCCAAGGTTAATGTGTGATCCCTCCTCTAAAATACAATTAAAAATGAGCCTTTCAAACGTAGACCTGCCTTGTCAGCTGGGATTAATCGATATTGATCGTGTAATCGATCTTATTTTCTCTTCTGAATTATTGAAGATGGAAAGATATATGGTTTTCACATTGCTTCTCAACTATTTAGAGCGGTATTTTATCATCCATCTTATAACTTTTTATACTGATAAAGTTTTAAGTTTTCTTTTTCACATTTTACTCATTGTTTGGCATACATTTAAGCCTTCGACAGACATAATTAATAAATTCATAAAATGAAGGAAATTTTTTTTAGCTGAAAGTAAGATCGGGGCTTTGTTCCTCTTTTCTTTTTCACATTTTACCCATTGTTTGGCATGCATTTAGCCTTCGACAGACATAATTAATAAATTCATAAAATGAAGGAAATTTTTTCCGCTGAAGGAATGATCGGGGCTTTGGTGATCTTTAAAATAAGTGATTTATTTAACTAATTAGGTTCAATTTATTTAAAAAGTGTGTAAACCACTTCAAATTTGCCAAAAAAAAAAAAAAAAAAAACTCTAGCCAAATAAGCCTTTTATGTTTTACAGGTGTATTCTTTGCCACAAGACCAGTTTTTTCATCTTTGACCTTGACCTTATTAAATACTTACAATACTGAAAGGTCAGTGTGTAAACAATGTAAAAGTCAAAAATAAATAACACATGTGAAGGTGTCACATGTGTCTGTGGAATACCTATGCCCCCGTATGGTAGCTTGTGGCGATGTTGGACTTTTCTCAAATGCAAGTCAAATCAAAAGTTAAAAGGACAGAGAGAGGTTTTGTAAAGTGAGTTCTAATTGTTCAAAGTCAGACAAAGGTTAAAGTTTTTAAGAAGTGGGTCAAACTCTTAAGGTCAAGGTGAAAGGTCAAATATTTATACCTATATACTGAAACGTTTTGTCTGTGTCAAAATGAATACACATGTGAAATATGAAAGCCCTTGGCTCCAAGTGATCAAAAGTTATGGCCAAGGTTAAAGTGTGTTATTTTTTGTAAAATGAGGTCAAACTCCAAGGTCAAGAGGTCAAATTTGGTGAATACGAAAGCCATAACCCGACCCACTCAAAAGTTATGGGCAGGGATAAAGTTTTTGCAGACAAACAGACAGATACATGTAGACAGACAGACGGACGGGCAGAAAACTACATAAACATCAGACAACCGAAACTTCGTTTACGGGGGCATATAAAGTCTGGTCTATAATTTATCGTGGAGAATGGTTGTATGTAAAGTTGAAAAGTCGTAAGTTAATATTTTATGTTGTCCTTGATTCATTTATCGGGTACATTAAGAAGTAAATAAGTAAGGCCGGATGTGGTCATCCCTTTAAAGCAAAAAAGAAGTGTTTAAAGCAAAAACATACAGAATTTCTCTGCACATTTGATTCATTTTGATCTTTTTTTAGCCTTGAAAAATAAAAGCGACAGACAGTTACAAATACAAGGATTTTTTTTTTCAGGTGCCAGTATTAGAATAATAAGATACTGATTTACAGTTTCTATTCACTTAATCAAACTCCTGAACAATGCGCCGAGTATAAGGACTACTTTAACATTACATAGACCGTTATCTCCTTAAGAGGGGCTGACAAATCCCCCCCTGATCCGCCGGTGATGGGGGTCGGGGATTAAGACAGTTTCGGGGATAGCAGAGCCAGGGTTAGGGAGTAAGCCAATAGGAATGTTATAGGCCAATAATTAAATTTAGTTACACGTGTTCGGGCGTTATGGTCAGAAATGTTTTATATGTAACATTAGAATTGGATTAAATTTTGTGGAATCATTAATTTGAAAGTTACGTATTCAATTCAAGGAACACGTTGTTGTATATTTGATAAAAGAGTAAGAGGAAAAAAGATAAATTATGAAAAAGCTTTGGTTTAATAAGTTCAAAATTTCTCGAGTTTACAAATCATACTAGTACTAAGCGTTTATCATGTTATAGGCTGGGTCTCATATATAGAGAATAATACATACCTTTTTCCACATCACATCCTGTATCAGCCCGAGACACCAATATCGGCCAGAGGGCCGAAGGCCCGAGGGCTGATATAGGATGTGATGTGGAAAAGGGTATGTTTTATTATATTTATTACATACTTAGTAATAAAATACAGAACACATTAAGTTGGAAAGAAAATAAGTAAATAATCATGCACGGACTTCTTAAAATGTACACAGTCTATTGTCTCATACAGTTTCGGTTTGTTTCTGCATGTACGTCTATTTCAGATGTCCTCAATCCGTAATTTTAAAATAATATATTATTTATCAGTTAGAATATCATTACATTCAAAAAGTTAAAATTAAGAGAATTATGTAACCCCAAAATATGTGTATGATTACAAGTACTGTTTTTTGAGGTTTAATTTACTAGGGGTGTGGTATTGATCAATATCAGCCCTGCAGGGCTGATAACCTACCGGTATATCAGCCCCGCAAATCCATATCAGCCCTGCAGGGCTGATACGGCTATTGTGACGTCAGCCATATCGCATATGCAAAAATCCTGTATTTATTACTAAGTATGTAATAAATGTATATATTTTTATTGGAGGGTTCCATATTTTGAAGGATACCTGCAAGTTTTAAGATAGCCTCTATACATTTCACTGTTCTGGTCTTAAAATGTTTGTACCTCTTCGACGGAGTCAAAGATTTAACTTTTTCTAGCAGTAGTATTTCTAAGTATACCTTCTGGCATTTGTATGGATGATGCATCTAGTATGTTTCAATTTACCAGCTGGTTTTAGATACTGGTTTTTGTCATAATAGATTTCAAAAAGACGACCAGGTTAAATATTTTGGGGGCAGGTTTGAGGAGCAGGTCTTATTTTCAAGGAACTAAGTACTTAACATGGAAGATGCATGTAGGGGTGTTTATTATTTACCATACTTTGTTCAAATGCTGGATCTGACCTTCATACATCTTCTAATTGATTGAGCAGATTAAAGATTTTTGGGCATTCATCTATTTCCAAGTAACTAATGACCTCCCTGAAATTAACTTGATTAGACCATGTAGAGGGATTCAGTTTACAGGAACTGTTTTCGATGCTGGCTTAAATTTGACCTTGATTTTTTAGATGATTGAAAAGTTTTCACAGTAGACCCATAATCAAGATATTCTAAGTCTTACCCAGCCCAAACTTTTATGGAATGTTGCATCTTGGGATGCAAATCACCAAAAACATTTAGTTAATAGACGTGGAGAAGATCCAATCGTTATATGATAGTACGTCATTACGTCTTTTCAACCTTTGACACGTTATTTGTGGCATTTTGCTTACATGCACTAGTAATTTATACCTGGAAAAATTAACAGGTGAAGAGCACTTGAGAAAAGTATGGAGGGTTGAATAAGAAATGATTAACAAAGAATATTTGGATAGAAACTGCCCGGTATATCTTAACTCTGTATCCGATTTGTTCCACGTCGATGCAAGTTTGTACGGGAGTTTAATTAGGTTCTCAATGGAGGTGTTAATGAATTAATGCAGGATTACTAGTAATTAAAGGATAAATTAAAAATACTTGATTGGTCACAAAAATTTTACTTTAAGATTAGCGAATATAGATTAAAGACGTTCTAATATCAGGTTCATATAGTAATTATAAGGATATTTTGTTGATTAATTAACTCAAGCGTTTTTTTTCAAGGTAAAAATTTATAAAAATTCTGTTTTCTATGTCTGTATCTTCCATTTTCATTCAGTATGAAATATCATTCATATACGTGTATGAATTTTAGCTAGACTGTATGAGATTCATTAAGCCAAAGACGGTCCTATATACATGTATATTGTACGCTCAATTTTCCCTACAAATTCGGTGGGAAATGTACTTTTAACTTGAAAAGGAACCTTAAATTCTTAAGGCATTTTAATGAACTCGAAGTCTGTGCACGCTTTCATGTTTGCCTACACAAACGTTACATTTTGCCCGACCCGAAAGACCCCATATCACTAATACAAAACGGGCTCAAATATTGACAAGCCTACCCGCATTATCGCGCTACACTTTAAAGCAAATCAAACACAAATAACAGTTAAGACGGTTAATGTTAAATAACTTAGGTTCAAAGTTTTCCTAAGATATCAAGATTGAGTTAAGTTGTAATTACTGGATTATCGCCTTTCTGTGTTGTGTGTATGTTAAGATTCCAGTGGCGGGTGAGGGGATAAGAAGCGATGATTTGTATCTCGCCTTGAAGTTTCGGGAGGGTGACAGCAAGCTAGTGGACTGATTCGTTTATAACTACCCCCTCCATGACTTGACGGTGGCCAGGGGTTGGAAAACAGTGAGACTAGAGTCGCCCAGCAGGGTGCAGCTTAAGGATTAATTATTTTATTGAATGGACATGTTGAATTTCAACAATCTTTCAACAGTAACAAGTGTGAAAAACTCGCCACTGTGGGACGGATGCTAAATGACAGGGGCGGATTGTAAGCAAGGTGCCCGTTATTGAAAGCTGTATAATTAATGTCAAATTCACGCGTCCAAGATAGAAAATAATGATTTATGAGTGACGATATTATTACTGATTTGTGACAGTAAACTTTCACCGAACTTTAAAAATTGAATTTTTCTGGCGTGGATTTAATGGACTCAGGGTCACGAAGTATTCACAACGTACAAGGTCTTTCGTGGTCCAAGACGATATCTATATAAGTAGACAGAGTCCTGGGGGTGAGGGATTTGGAAGACCATTTAAAAACAGCAGAATTGGGTGACAGAAGTAAACACATAAAATTCATATGTCAAAACATTGACTAGGATTATCAGCCAATACACATCCTATCTTTCATTGTTAAAAAGAATTAGGAGATTGCGGGAAGAATTGAATGGCGTGTACCCCGCGGTGAGGATTATTAAATGATTATGTGGACCCCAATAAAGAGGGGATTTGTCACGCCGATATACCTTATACTTTCTATATGCTTACCTCGTACCTAGTTATAAGACAAAAAACATACAACAGGTTATACATGAATAGTTAACGAGAATTTTACCTCTTCAATTTTTTTTTATCAACAAATATTCGTTGATGATGAAGAGATAACTATTCTTACTGAAAGATTAAGGAAGTAATATTTGGAGAAAAGTTTTGTTTTGTTGAGTCCCAGGTGAATAATTAAGGCGAATCGTCCCATTGTTTTACTGAACGCCCTGGTGAATATTCAGTATTGGCTTTATTGGAAATCAATTAAGATGGAATAAATCGAACGTAAATGTGACACAATGGAGAAAACAGGTCTCGGTCTTGGCGGAAATGTTCGGCAATAAAGCGGACGAAACTGCGCGCGAGGATTAGCGCCACAAAAGCCTGCTCTTAAGTAAACGGAGGAACGTTTCTTTTTATTGAAAAATCGAAATCAGGAATTGTTCTTCAACTTTTCAAAGTGTTGTGAAAATTTTTGGAAATTTAACTTTTTAAACAATAGTCTTTTGATCTACAAATGATTGATCGTGGGGCAGCCTGGAGTGCCCAAAATGTGTGAGATAGCGCACGGAGTAGGCCACAGCTTCACACCAAGAGGCCAGGAAACTGAACGGGGGGACAGGAAGTGATTAGTGTCCATGTTTGGCCTGCAGGTGCCCCTGTCCCGGGCCGCGGAGGCGGAGGAATTCGACAGTGTCAGCACGATCCTCCTGAACAGGTATCCAGCGGGGGGATCCGTACGATAAGATACCCTTATATATAGATTATTGGTAAACATAAGTAATCTACGTCTTTTAGGGAACGGGCCATTAAAGCATTGTATGTCTGTATGTAAAGGGAACGATAAGTCGGCCCGTATATAAAATTAATGTCCATTCCGCATTATAAGGGGGATCTTAGGGAATGTGAAATTCTCATTAATTATCTAACGATTGATAGGAGACAAAATCATAGCCAGAAAAGTTAGATACCATTGAATCTAAATACAGGGGGCAGATTTGATAGAGTTTCTATTATTATTGGGTTTAATTTCTGAAGTAGGGAAAATTTAAAAGATCCCAAACCATGAATTTTTATGTAAAAGTAACATTTTTCTGAAATATAAAGAGGTAGCGGGGAGACCCATGGCCCGGCCAGTCATGCATACATCTAAATCTGTCGCTGGTTGTAATGCCTTAAAACACCTCTCTCTTTTGATGTATCCTTTCATTCCTTGGCACTTAACGTGACAATGCTAGGTGTGGGTTAGCTTCTGTTATCAATCAATCAATCTATAGATGAATTTTCATACAAGCACATGCCCTCGGCAAGTTATTCATAATATTTTGGAGTTTTTGTCGATATTTTATGTAATTTACTAATACCACGGAATGTAAATGACGAATCCTTTCTCTTGATATTCAAATTTGTTTAATTTTTTTCCACTGTTAATGGTATATCACTTGAAAGTATACAGAGCCCGTTTGTTCTTGATATATTTTTGTCAGCTTCGATCTTAATGTATTTGCTATGGGCCACATCGTACCCCCACTAACCGGTGAAATAGCTATTGTATCGGGGGAACACGGCGCGCCAGATCTCTGTCACAGAAATGCAGGGGGCTCCCAGATTTTTGTCTATTTCTCTTTATACCTATATATCGACTACAACACAGATTTCAAAGACGGGCGATAATACTCCAGAATCTCTACCACTCGATCCTGTCCGAGATTTTAGCGTTGTATGTGACAGGTTACGCTGTTTTTGCCTTTCATAGGCCACAAAACAGATTAACAGTGTGTATATAAGTAACACTTCTATACTAGATAAAATTCAGTCTAAATATTTTTAGTGCTAAAATATTGTTTAAATGCTCTTGCAAGAGTGAGAAATATAAATCTTTTGTTAGAAATTTCTTACTTTACCGATTGATAAAAAGAAGAAAAATTTATGTTACAAATCCCCCACTCTTTTTCCATAGCAAAGTCTTGAATAAAGGAATATTTATAAATATCCTGAAAAACTTTAGTATATTAAAAATAATGACATTGAATCAATTTGAGAAAATGAAGTCATTTCTCAGTTAACTCTCTGAAAAATTATTGCGCTAAAGCAGAATTGCATTTTTATTTTATTGAATTTTCTATATAAGTATGAAAAAAAAAACGCAATTATACTTCAGAAACTACATTTCTCAATTTCATAATTATTTTGTAAATGATAATTAATAATCAGTTATCCATTTAAGTATTTCATACTATAGAAAATAATCTTTTGTCGAAAAAAAAAAATGTTCAAAGCATTCTGAATTCTACACGAAAAATTTCAAGAAAATTTGTACCCTTCCAAATGGCTTTCATTTTGATTTATATCATAGACCTAAAACGTTTTAGGTCTATGTTTATATGAATATGAAATTTAGTTAATTTGGATTTTCATGCGAAAAATATGATCGTGCAGTAAAAATATGACACTGTCACTTTTGACACAGGACTGTGCACGTTTATTTTTTTTTCATAGATTATTACACTATAGGTGGCAAACTTGAAACTTTAGGTGGTCAACATTTCATTTACACATAATTAATAGGATTTTAACACCCTCCCCTTCTCTCCTCCCCGCCACCCTCTGCCATCCTTTACATTTTTTAATCACGGGTTTCCACAAAACATTAAATAACTATATCTTCATTAAGGCCGCTCTTTAGTGTTTACTTTCGAACTAGAGTGACTTGATGATTTAGGCCCCCCTCCCGAGCTGCCACAATGGGTTAAGTCCTGACAAATTGAATGATTATAATGTTAGTTTTCTTATCCAAACCTTTTTCTCTTTTTTATAAAAGAAAAACGCGGATATCGAACAATAGCTACACTTTAAACTGAATCCTAATGCGTTTTATTCTTCTTTTATTTTTATGGCCATGGTTTAAACTGTTATACAGACATTTACAGAAAAGGAAACTTTCAATAAGTTAATTTCAAATAAAGAAAACTATTATATTTAGTAGTGTAAACATTACAGAAAGCCTTAACAAAGGTAAATACCGGTTTCCGTGGAACAAAAACTTCTCTACACAGGAAAGGGGGCGGGTGTGCTGCAAACTGGGTAACTAGAAAGGTTGCCGATATTTTTATTGAGCTTTTTGGATTCTTGATTGCATATGTTTTTACTAAAATCAATTTTAGGAAAGTCTCTAATTTTTTTTCCAGCCCTTTCCCACAAGTCTTTCCTTTTCTCGTCTTTACAGATATCACCCTAACCCTAAACTTAAAAAAAGAAAACACATGAACTTATTGGATCGTTTTATTCAACAATATTACGTCACATTATTTTAGCGTTACAAATCAAACCAACCGGAACAACACTGTTTGTTGCGGAAAGGTTCTAGTTTTACTGACCGATTGAAAATGATGGTGATGTGATAAACTGCTGAAAGTTAGGTTTATTTCTATGCATATATAATAGAAATAGAAAATTCATGATGAGTATTGAATTTGTAGGTTGTTTTACTGGATTTTTACCCCGAATGACTTCATTCTTCTAAAGTTTGTGTAATTTCAATTTAGTCAAAAAGAGACAAACAAAATGTTGTGTGTTGGGCAAATATCAAGTTGTTTAGAATAAGATATAAAGAGTTAAAGACCCGAGGTTAATATTAATATCCATCTTTTTGGTGTGTTTAGTAACATAAAACAAACAAGATAAAGTAAAGAAGTACTTTAGTTATATTTACAATAAGATAATGCCACACTAACAGACGATAAGATAGACCGTCACTGCGTGTATAGATAATCCACAAGGGGTACCCTGTCTAGATACACTATTAACTCTGCAATGATATGTTAATTGTATAAAGTATAAATCATTTTAAAATCCTGATTATACTTTTTTATTGCATGAATTAAATTTAATTTTGAAGAAACAAATTCAAATTTGCATCTTGACTTACTTTTCTTGTTGATATACACACAACATAAGTTAACAATGCCTTTGAAGGAAACAATTTTAAGTTGCAGGCATTTTTATTATTTTGTGAGTGGTAATTGTAAACCCAGAGTATCATGCGTTTTTATCTACTTTTCTGCTCAGGTGACTTCATGTTAATTTCTGTGTTTCAGTGCATATAATGGCCCTACAGCAGTTGACTTGTCAAGGTGTAAAAACAATGACCGCCTCTTTGTCTTAGAACTGTTTGGAAACAAGAAGCATAAATGTGATTACCTCCACTGTCCACATAATGGTCACTCCACCGACGACACAGGGTACGGGACAGACAATGACGATGTTGGCGGGGGACAGGATTCTAATCCTGACTACGAGCCACTAGATATAGTGACCCACAGGTGTACAGACTCCAGTGTAGATTTCACAAGGATGGACAGCATACGCAGAGTTAAGCTAAAAGTGAAGAAAGTGAATCACCAGAATTTTGACATTATTGACAGGAACAGAAAGCCGGGGCAGTTAGGGCGAGCCTTGTGTAAGGAGCTGATCGGGATTATTCCTGGTCATTTTCCGTCTAAATCGATGACCGCATGTGGACAGCGGCTGTGTGTCCGTGGACTGGTGCCTCACAGTCACGCATCCAAGTACTCCAAAATACAGATAGGTAAGCATAGAAAAATGGAATATAAAGGGTGTTAAGAAAGTTCGTTCCACATTTTTTTTTTATTTTCAAAAAGAAATACGATGAGAAGATATTTACAATTTGTGATATTTCATGTTTACGGAGTCCATTCTTGCTATTGATAAGGTTTTAAATGTCTTTTGTTGAATCAATTAGGGGAGGGCAGGTATTAAAACAGATGATGTCTGATCAGAAAAATTAGGGATGACACATATTTGTGACATATATTAGGTACAGAGGTCAAAACATCCTTTTAAATACTATGCAAAAATTATCAAATCTGTGAAAAATTTCAAAATGACAAACCTATATTTTTGAAAAGTGATCTGTCGTTCTTATACATGTACCTACGCTCATCAGCTTGTCTGGTGCAAGATAAGCTATGAAGAAACAAAAATAGATTATCCTTTATTTTCAATCAAAATGACCATCATTTCTATCATTCGGGTGCTTTAACGATATTATATTTATTTTCATATGAAAGAAAAATCCTATATTTTCCTGCAAGAAATGAATTGCTATAAATCTAAAGCACACTCTTGTGATTTTGTCAGACTTGAAAATTTATCTCTTTAGTTAAGCACTACTTTGAAATTTTTGAAAATATTTCATCCTGGAATGAACTTTCTTAACACCCCTTAGATCCATTAGTAACTTGAATTGTCATCTTTTCATATATTTGTCACTAAGAAAAATTGTATTTGTCATTGGTTAGCTGCTTTTAATCATTCTCAAAGTGGAAACTTTGAAAAAAAAAAGCTGCACAAAATACAGTAAAAATCTATTGAGGCTTATTTAGATTTGTGAATTTCTTGGACTAGAAAGTCTCTTTTTTCTGTAAACAGGTGATTGTCTGAGACTGATTAATGGCCGTGAGATTACCTGGGATAACATTGACGATGTTCTGCTGAAGATTTCTCATTTGGAGGAGGTACAACATTTAATAGATATTTTATATTTACTTAGATATTTTCTTTAGTAAATTCTATCCAGCCAGAGTTGTGTTGAAGAAGATGTAGCTCTGTGTCTGTTGAATTTGCTCACAGGTGCTCATCATATCTTATTTGTCCTCTTTGAGTTTGACAACCTCTATACTTTAAAAAAAATATATTTCATAGTAAAGGGGTGATCAAAATTAAAGTAGACAAAGAAGTCGTGGTGAGCACCTGTGGTTTTCTTGCTTCTTGTAAAGATGAAGGAATATGTTTGTTAAATTAAATATGAAGTCTCTCAATACAGTTCCTACACTAAGACAGAGATATAGTTCAACAGTTAAGTAATCTAATAAAATAGTGACTAGCTGCTCAAAATTGGTATAATAAATGTAGCAAGTTGCAACAATGGAAAAAGGTGAAGGTATTGAACAGTGATTTAAAATCTGTCCAATAAAATTATGAACATTAAAAGTCTATAAATGGGGCATAAAATGTTGACTCTCAAAAATTCCAGAGTTGGGATCAGGTGCCAAGAAGGAGTAAATACCCCCTGTCATTTGCCCTATATAGCAAACTCTAGGGGTGGGACGATATACCGATACACCGATACATACCGATATTTTCCTCCAAGATACGGTTTACGATACAAGCTTTCAAATATCTGTACGAAACCATACACGAACGACCCATCAAATTGAAAATGAAAGTACCTGTCCTTTGAAAATGGCGGCTTGTACGAAGTGAAGAGATTATAATTATTTTGATATTGAAGACACACTTTAGAACTAATAAGTCGTTGATTAGGGGTAAAACGTTTTCACTTTTAAGCAGGCTCCGGGACAAGAAAAGTTCAGTATGAAATGCGTTCTATACACAGAAAATATCGTTTCCAGAACATTTGATATTATAAATTGTTAATCTATCGCGTACTTTTTTTGTAATCTAAACTTGGCGACACACTTTGAGCAATGATTTAAACAATAAAATGCTTTCTTTGTTTGTTATTACTGGAATTTGAAAAAATACATAACCCGCGTAAGCGGGTTATGTATTTTTTCTGCAATAGCTGCGATCGTTCATTCCAGTAATAACAAACAAAGAAAGACATTTTATTGTTTATATTTATATCTGTTTAAATTATCATTTTAAGTAGGATTAAAAATATTAATTATTGTGTTAATGATGCGAACATCTTTGTACGTTTCATTGATGGAACGGCCACTGATCAAGAAATCTGTACAGGTGATTATGCCTAATGTAGTTCGTGCAGTGATGAACGCAATGGGTTTTCTTAAGAAATAAAGAAGAAAATATTCAGTGGATGTAAATATTTAATAATAATGTAAATATGATCAATGTTTTTAAATGAATTTTTAGTCCATGTTCTCTGATGAAATACACAACTACTTGTAAACAAATTCTGAATAGTAATAATAGTATGTACATTTATCATTGTTTTGTACAGTTTTAGTCAATGAAATTGATGAACTTCAAGTATTAATTTCAAAGCATAGTTAACATGATTTGATGTAGAATAGTTTGTTGATTTAATGTCTAGACAAAAAAAATAAAATACTTATTATTTGGAATAGTTTTATAATTTATCATAATATCGAGATACGTATCGTATCGTGCCAATATATCGAGATACGTATCGTATCGCAAGATGTGTGTATCGCCCCACCCCTAGCAAACTCTGATCTCCATCTCTCCTTACAAATAGACACACAAAAATCATCAATGCCTCATTGATAAATTAGGCAGAAAAACATGGAATGGTTGTATGCTCTCAAGTACATATCTATGTATATGTAATCTAAATGACCTCGTATTTGAATGTATATATTTGTAGGTTTCCGTGGTGATACAATGTATATATTTGTAGGTTTCCGTGGTGATACAACAAGTGATCAGTAAGCAGCCTAAGGTTCCGGTTCTGACTCCGTTACGAGCGACCGCAGTCGACCAGGACCTGGTACAGGTGATCAGCGGTCAGTCCCTGGGGTCAGAGAGCTCAGACCCCACCCCAGGGCACGGTGTCATGTTTATAGACCTCCAAAAACTACAGTCCGAGACGGAAGCTTCACAGGTAGGTCACTGACAGGACAGGAACTTGACTACATAATGGTGCAATATCTTACTCATACAGTAGAAGTTGCTGAATAAAGATATAGTGATGAATGGAAGACATTCTGATAAATAATTACAATATAGAACATGGATGACCTATTTGGATTTTTTTTCCTGTAGGATGACCTAGTTTATCAGTATCCACAGATGACCTTGACAGACCTCAGGGGAGCACTAATTACCCTATACCACACAGCCCAGGAGTGGTCACACACCAAACTACAACAGTAAGTCATACATCATTGACTAAACTAAGTCATAATTGTGAATGATGTCTGTATTGTTTTGTTGGCATTACAGTATTTTGACCCATTTTAAACAAAAAAAATTACAAGTAAAGTTACTTGTTAAACACACCTGTGAAGTAAAAAGCATATCCTTGAGGTAGAAAATATTATTTTAGTGAAATTTGTTGATATATTTATTTTTTATTTTTTTTCAGAGCCAGTTATAAACATAATGGGGAGAAGTACAATGTGACATTTTATAAAGAGGAGACAACTCTGCTCCTTCTTACCTTCAAACAAAGGCAGTAAGTGATTTGATTATCCAGTTATCTCCCTTTTCTCTATGTGTGTTGTGTTCTTTTTCAAACTCAAAGAAACAAACACCTTATGCAAATTCACCGTATAAATGAAAAAAAAAACACAGCCAAAAATGGTTTTAATGTGTTTCTTTTCATTTGAATGTAAACGAAACGCTTTGATATTTCAAAGTCTATTCAGCTTTATTCTGTGTTAATGTTTGCCATTAATTTCTTGTTGTAAACTTTCGATAACTCTTTTCCTCAGGATACCTAGTACAAGTGTTTCCAAGGTGATGGGAGACTTGCTCCGCTTGCTGCGAGTTCTGTATAACTCTGTAATGGATGCCTTTCTTGACATCACTAGACATGGTGACCTGAACTGTCTGTTTGCTCTGTTCTTCCACAGCCTCGGTTTGAGTAAGCCTCATTCTGAGATGTTGTCAAGGAAGCTACAGACTTCCTTAGATACCAGCCTTTGTTGTCATATACCGTATCTACCTCTTCTGACCACAGACACTGTAAGCACTGATCTCATTTTTTGGCCACATTTCTTCTTTTAGAATAAATTTGTAATATTTTTAGAATATTTTTATGTTGAATATAGACACTGTGAAATCCTGTTTTTTCTTAGGATAAAATTTTTAAAGATTGAAGATAAAAATTTAGAGGATTTGATTTAGTGGTTTGTAGATAATATTGTTGTCTGATATTTACATTTTTCGATGAAACACCCAGCGAAATTACTGGGTAGTGATTTTACTGAAAGTTTTGTATTTGACTGAAAATTATTAATGTTAATAGTACTTTGTAGACATGAAATGATAATTTTTTTTTTTTTTTCAGGAAAATATCGACAAAATCCTAACATCTTGGGAAGCTCAAGAATTTTCTGATGTGGTAAGAACATTTATATTTCTTTCTTTTAGAAGTGTTTTTTGTTTTTCAAGATTTTCACGTGAGTTTTATTTTTCAGTCTGAGAGCTATTTTGGATGCCGCCGTGCCTTTACAATACTTGGTTCTTGTTTGTTCTATAAGGTAAGGAATGTGTTTCAATATAGAATCTTTGAATCACTGTACCTTAACACAAAATTATAAAATTAAAATAAAGTATAATGGAAAATAAGGATGATGATAAAATTGCATTAGTTCATGTAATTATAAAGCTAATACAAGTTAGGTCAATAGGTGTTTTTATACATTTACTGCCTGAAATATATTTCAGCAGATAAAATTGTCTGTATTATTTCATAACCATTCTACTGAAGTAACTTGTATCTTAGGATTGTTTTAATCATTACTCTGTCATACATGTATCTGTATATTTCCAGTCATTACTGTTGTGCAATCATCTACCGAAAGAAGATTTAACCGATGTCTATCTGTACCTAAAGTATCACTGCCTTCTCTCCCTTTGTTGCCGTGACAACCTACAACAACTGGTGGTCTGGCAGGAAGTGAACTCCACGCGTCAGATGTTTGACCTCGGAGAGGAACAGGTGTTTGGATACACGGAGCCCGTAAACGCCAAACTCATCTGGCTCATTGTAGGATATGTAAGTTGATGAGTGAAAATTTTGAGAATGGTTTATTTCAAAGTTGAAGAGTAAATAAATAAAACAAAATAGCCATTAAAAAAAACATTTTTGTATATCAGTGACTGAAAGAAGTGCTGAAAAATTCCATTTACTAAATTAATATTCGTGATCGTGAAATGGTAAGACACAGTAACCTTGATGATCAAGGTTCTGCATCAAGTCAAGGTCATATAGAAAAGGTCTATAAAAAAGCTACCCCATAGAATTGACTATGTTTTACTTTTAAATGTGTTGTCAGAATGTTTTCAAAGTACTACGCCAAATTCTATACATTATTTTGTATTTCAACATTATGATACCTAGTGATTATATTTTGATCATGGATACCACAAATGTCTCTAGTCCACTGTCCTTGACTGTACACTTAAGTTTGTTTTTATTTTCTCTATTTGCATCTCTAGAATTAATATTACCTGCACTTAACTTTATGGTCATGAATAAGAGTAGATTGTTAATAATGTGTCACGCCTGAGTGGTTTTTGTTGTTCCCTGAGATGGCTGGGGCTAACAGTGACCATATTGAGGTGTCGAGATAATGGCCGTATTGATCAGGAAACACAATGGCAGTTGTGGAGTAAAGTTTTATAGGTTATGAATTAATAAGACATAAAGTTCGGGGATACATTGCCAGGAAGACTGGAATGGCCATTAATTCTTTCAACAACAAGTTGATTTACTGTATTTTTTTCCTGCATCTAATGAAAACTATAGCATGTTGTAAGGCTGTATAATGAACACTCTTAATTTAAGAAAACACAAGAGGAACATTGTTTGACTAGCACAAAAAGTAAATAAAAGTAGACATTGATTTGATAAACAAGAACACCGAAGCAATAGATATGCTAATAATTGTTTATTGTAACCTAATAGCAAGGAGAATTTTACTGACATTTTAGTAATCACAGGATTCTGAAGTTTTTTATCGTAAAAAAAAAAAAACCCACCACTTTTTAAGTTGAGGGTGGGAAATTTTTTTCCGAATTTTTTTTTTTGATGATAAAAACTTCAGACTCCTGTGTAGTAATTCATCCAGTTTTCATGTCATGTGACACATTACATACATGTAAAGGTTATGGTGAACAATTCAATCAGTTGTCTCACATCAGTAAATAATGGGGCAATTAAAAAAAAAAAGTTAATGAAGTATATTTAGATAACTTTATAACTCTGACATGTCAAGAGCACAAGTAATAGAGTTTGTTTCCTGAATGTTAAAAAAAAAATTGGAATTGTTAATTTTTATAAACGTTTTCCCTATCTGATCTTTCTTTAGGAATCTTTACGATGTTTGTTTTACTCTGTCCCTACATGGTAGAAAATTTATAGAAATTCAAAATATTCTTTCATAATAATTTTCACATGTTCTAAAACTAAATTAACAATGTTGTCTGTTTTAGAAGCGAAGTATTTTGTGTACACTACTGGAAATCAAGGGAGGAGCTATCAAGTAAGTGTAGCCATTGTAGTGCCATGAAAAAATCTCTATTTTTTGCTGTTATTTTTCTCTATTTAAAGATACAAGTATTACTAAGTTTGTACACATAAAATGAATCGATCATCTTGAAAACAAAAATACATCATCAATTGAAACTTACTGAGAACGAACTTTGTATAACTTCTAGGCAAGGGAAGATAATTTTTTCAGCACTTTTTACCTGTGTATGATTGTATAGTTTGATATTAAACTGTATGATATATTGTTATCAGGAGGAATAAGACCCCCCGTCCGGACCCCCTATATATAATTGTATAGTTGATATTACACTGTATGATATATTTATCAGGAGGAATAAGACCCCCCGTCCGGACCCCATGTATATTGACCAGGCTAAAGCTGTCCTGCTCCAGATCAATTCCCTGGATCTCTCACAGCTCTCTAAGAAAAGGTACTCACAAATTTATTCCATGGAATAAAGGATCCATACAGAATTCATTATATTTTAATAGGGGTGAAACGATACGCCTCCTTCACGGTTCGATACGTATCGAAAAATTTGGTCTCGGTTCGGTTATTTTCGATACGATACATTTTGATAGAAGGAAACAGATTCAATGTTGTTTTATGCTACCTTTTACTTAATCTACTAAAATAATTTATGTGCAAAATGGATAGAATGTATCAATTTTATTGATTTGACTGTTAAAAATTATTTTACTCCACACAAACTTACGTTTCTCTATATTATACAGAAAAGCATGTTTATACCTTATGCCAAATTGAATGACGATCCCGACCGAAAAACGAACCGAACCGAAAGTAGAGATCTTGTACCGTGTATCGAACCGAGAAAAAATACCGCGGTGAACCGATACCGCGGTGAACCGTTTCACTCCTATATTTTAAAATTCTACTCAAGCATATGACATCACACCCAATGTTTTAACAAAAGGAATTTTTCCTCTGCCCACTTTCTGTGAAGCAGAGGGAAAATTAATGACAGTGATAGGAGTGGAGGTATTTCTCTTTAAACTTGGGATACCTCTTCAATAGTTTTTACTGCAAAAACCTGTTGTGGATTGTTAACATGTAATTTCAGTAGAAATCTTTCATAAGTTGAGTTCCTTTATTAGATATGTCCAATCTTTTAAGTTCTTTCAGAAATGTTAATGTATTATTTTTCCAACAGGGGCCTCTCTCAGAGAGTGAGACTGGTTTCGAGCCTTGAGTCTACGCGACCCAGCTCTCAGAGTAATGGAGTATACCCTGTGACTTCCAGTCCAAAACTCGGTAAAGATTTAAAGTTTCTGTGTTCAAGGTTTTGAACTTAACCGATAAACATTAAAATCAACATATAAATTTTTTAGAAGCCATTTATATTTATTGCATGATTAAATCTATGAGAAAGGTTTTAATTAAAGTGTGATTTTTTTTATTGAAAGACTTTTATTTTTATCGCATGATTAAATCTGTAAGACAGTTTCTATTAACCCTTTCTCTACCAGCACATTTGAAGCAATTTTGGAGACCCATTGACAAATACTAAATTTTTTATTTTTTTAACCAAAGAAAAAAAATTATAATAAATACCATTTTGTAGCGAATTTCTCAGAGACAATGACTTTTCCAATATCTCATGACTGACTTTACCAGTGAAAATAAAGGTCAAAGGGCAAATAAGTGCAAAATTTCATCACATTTTTTGAGACTTTTTAATATTCAAGCTTAAAATTTGCAATGATGATGATGATGTATGTTGAAACAATGAAGCTTAATTCAAATATTACGAACAGAAACAAGAAAAAACAAATGTGGAAAGATAACTCTGGTTTTTATAAAATGTTTAAAAGTAAAAGCAATAATTTTTACATATTCTAAAAGCAAAGAAAAGATTTTTTTTTTTTAGATATATCAAACTTTTTAACAGGAATTAATCAGGAACAAATATTCTAATTATTGAGAAAATCATCCTTGTTTTGGAAAATTGTGTCATTTTTAAAAAGCCATGAACATCTTCAAAACATAAAATCTATACATTACCGTCATATAAGGTTAAAAATTCTTACAGAATTTACAAGTAGAGAATATTTCCTAAAAGACATATAGATTATATACTTTTAATGCTATCTTAAAAAAAGATATGAAGATCCTGTTTTCATGAAGTCATTTTTTCCATTTGTATGTTTGAAAAACCCTTTAATATTATGTTGTCATACCGGTAATCAGTTTTGATCACTTGTGTACCAATATAATAAAATATACCATCTTGAAAACAATGTACACCTGTATTTTTATCTAGATGTGAGTAACTTGCTGAACAAAGGGCGACAACTCCCAGTCCTGGGACGTAAGGACTCGGTCAGATCCGATGGATCCATGGAAAGTAACTCTAGCGCTGGGAGTGACAAGGTAATCAGAGTTGTCTTTCTTTGCATACTCATACAGCGGATGATTCATCACTCCCAAGTCCCTAATTACAGTACATAGTTAATGATTATTTAATTAAAAAACAAAAGATGTTGCTTTTTTTTTTTTTTTAATTTATTGTATTCTCTCTTTCCATTATCAATGAAATTTCAGTAACATAGTTTTGATGATTTCAGTCTATTGCCAGTACTTTAATAATAAGCAATCAACCTATGATTCATCAGTTCTGTAAAAGTGAAAATTAAATCTTTCTTTTCTTTTTCAGACAAGAAATAAAAGGGGAAGGTTGTTTTCTGATGTTATACAGGAGGATAAACACAGAGATTTCAGCTTCACTATGGCTGACAAAATCAAGTAAGGCCCAAATCTACAGAACACAATGATAAACTCCACTAAATGTGTCTGATATATAGAAATCAAATACGAATCAGCTGCTAAAAATTTTATATTGTAGATTGACATCAGGGGCAGACAACTGTCTCCTTCACTTCCTCCATTTTGACAAGTATGAGGGAGTGATTATCTCCCCTGAGCCGGTGTCTGATCACACGGAGATCGTCCAGAACTTCTACCGCTGCTCCTCCCAGATCAAACACATGTTTGACAAGTACCGATATAGAAGGGTAAGCAGTGGCTGTGAAAAAAATCATTTATACATGTATTGAAAATAGTTTTTAAACCAAAATAAATCATATAAAGTCTATTGTATATCTAGCTAATTAACAAATATTAATGCTATAATATAATTGTGCTGTTATTTAGTGTAAATAAAAATAAGAATTACATGTCATCAAATTATGATTTTTTGAACACTTAAAAGAAACCAACCAAACTAAACATTAAGTACTTGATGTATAATATGATTACAAAAGCACAATTTTTAACCCAGAATTGTATATATTTTTACCCGTTTCAGAAGTCAGCCCCTCCACTGATTCCAGAGATGGACACTAGAGTTCCCCACATGGTGGACACAACATTTAACTTTATGAGGGAGGAGGGGGTGATGTTTACAGTCCCCACCCCTGGGGGAGCAGCCAGTTACTGGGTTGTGGGGTAAGTAACACATCGTAACCCCTCCAAATCCCTGAATTCCCTAAAAGTAAAAAGTAGTTGTAATTTGTTATTACTCTCTTAGACACCTATTCAATGGTCCAAGATTTTGACAAATAAACAAAATTACATTCCAATGATTATTTTAACTTAATCTTATAGTTTTAAATCATTTTAGAAATATCTGTTTGAAAGGACAAACATAAATGCAGCCATTTAATTTCAATAAATTAAGCTTATCACTTTGAAATATATGAGCCAATGTCAAAGTTAAATGTACAAGCTCACGGAAGAAAGAAATGTTGATATACTAAAAAATTTTATTCATATCAGGTAACTGAATTTCATTTCTTTATACAAAATACCTTTTATCTCTGGAAGATATTAAATCAAAAACTACTTTTATTTTACAATAAATCAAAAATTACTTTTATTTAACAGACGCCAGAGATCCAAAGAGGAATTGTACGTCTGTTTCCAAGATGGAACTCCACAGAATCTTGTGGAGCTGACTTTTAAGACAGAGTTTGGACTCAAATGTTGAGATTTCTCAAACTGCCACAGGATATTAACTTACAAAGGACTCAATGTGTTCAGAACAATGATTGGGGATTAGAAGTCTGTTATATATTGTTATTTATTGTTAATTGTACACTGTACTATCTAGTCTGTGCCAGTATCATGAGTATGTCAAAAGACTCTTTCAAATGAATTCTTATAAAATCATACCTAGTTGATCAGGGAACTTGGTAATTGTTATATTTACAAATCTTATTTTACATTTGTAAAGGTATGTTGAATTGACACTCTTTATTTTACACTAGCTACTATCTAGTCTGTGCCAGTATCATGAGTATGTCAAAAGACTCTTTAAAATGAATTCTTATAAAATCATACCTAGTTGATCAGGGAACTTGTTAATTGTTATATTTACAAATCTTATTTTACATTTGTAAAGGTATGGTCAGTGAACTTTTAGACACTCTTTATTTTACACATTAATATAAATTTGCAATAAAACGCTATAACAGTTGATGGGTTTGATTGAACACTAATCTTGTTATAAATTTGCAATAAAATGCTATAACAGTTGATGGGTTTGATTGAACACTAATCGAGATATGCGTATTTCCATTAATTTTTAAATAGCTGAAATATTTGCATTGCTTCTGTTTGATTTAAAAAATGTTATGTGAAAAAGTAAATATTTGAATAGCATCAAACTGAGGTAAATGTCAGGGTATAGGCAAAAAATAATGGTTTATTCTTCTTTACTGACTTTATGAAATTGATATAAACTATATATTTTCGTTCAGTTGTGTTGATTTCTTTACAATGTCTTGGCAATTGTGTGAGTGCAGCCAGGGAATTTACCATCTCTAGACTCTATTAGGAAATAGATCAAATACAATCTATGTAGTTTCTGTCAACATTTGAAATTCCCATGGGTACTTATTTTGCCCCTTTTCTTCTTTATTCTTTTGAAGAAAATATAGCTTAAAATTGAATTTTATAAATATTGTCTATATGTAATATTTATTTTCATTTACATGTCAACTTGATACATCCCACTGAAATGGTGAATCACTACAAAGTCTAACAAAACTATCATATTTGGATTTTTTTTGCGAAATGTGAATGTTGAAGGCAAACAAAGACTTGAGGTTTTTAGCTTTAATATCCATTGTATGTTTATACATATATGTAATATTTCCATTACCTGTCATGGTGGCTATACCTCCCAGCTGATTCAATGCACAAAAGTATGTTACAAGTTTGACAGAGGCAGGCTACTGATAAATCAAATGAAGTGGGCTTTCAACATCTTCGTTTATTTAAAGGCAGCACTATGCAGATTCTTTAGTCATTAAAATATCGTAGTTTGCAAATATCAGCCCCGCTTTGGGTCAAAATTTAAGGAAAGTGCCATACCAAAAATCAAAATGTTGGATTTATGCTATCAATAGGTACATAAGGTTCACAACCTATGTATTTAAGGTACAAAGTTATGAAGGGTCAGCAGGGGATTTTTACTCCTCACAGACACCTGATCTCAAACGGGTGTTTCCAGGGGTCCCCTTCTCTCAGTTTGTATTGACGATACGAATTATGAGTTTGACCATGCACTGTTGTAAGCCTGTACAAGGTAATACTTCTAGGTACATCCTAAATCTATTATGGAAGTTGGAACCCGAATCCTTTTTCTATATATCTCAAATGAAAGGTCTCATAGACTTGGTCTCTTGAATACAAAGCGGGTTCATCTATACAATTTAAATTACGATTCTGGGATAATAAAGGACAAAGGAACAGAAAGACGATGGGTACAGCTCTTTGACTTGTAAAGCTTAATTATAAACCAAAAAGATATTTATAATAATTTTATTTTGAATTCTAAAAAATGTTTTCTTCCCTAAACTAACACATATATACTTTGAGATATAAATGGTTTTTCAAATATATTTTAATTTTCTGATATGATATAACCATGCTGATTGTATATAAACATAAAAATGAGCTGATGGTCTTTAAGTCTTAGCTAGGGTATTTAATGTAGGTGCAGAAAATGCAAAAAGCCGATTACATTTCTGACCCATAAGACTTTCAGTTGCGTGTGTTTAAGTTTTTCAAAAGAAATTTTTTAAACCGTCTAACACTTTAATTCTATTTCTTTAGCTGGCCTAATTTGTCCGTAAAACATGATATTTAATTTGACTTATCGGACATTACGATATTTAAGTACAATGTGTTGATCACTGTCCCACGATGAAGAACTGTTTGAGGATCTAGCAATTAATAAAGTAAATTCATGGAGTGGAAAAAAAAGAAGAAAAAAATTCTGGTCTAAGGAAGACTTTGAAAATTCAAAAAATATAAATGTAGTGTGAGTAAAAATAAATACATTGAGGAAACTACGAAGTTTTGGTGACAATGGCTTTGAAGGACTCTTTCATTAGAGAGGTTTTGCCTTACTTAATGACGACATGGATTTCCTTGACTGTTCTAATTAACACTATTCTAGGGATTCTTACAATAAACTTCATCAATAAAAAATTGTCCTTTACTCAAGTTGCAAAAAGTTTCACGATTCAGTTTCTAGTGATTGACGTAATTGCTGACGTCATTTTGTTGATTCCCGGGGCTGTTGTGAGTACCACCCTTTCATGGATCATGACTGATATAGGATGTCAGATTTATGGAGTCGCCACCATGTTCGTGTACTTGGTGATTTTTCATATTCTAGCATTACGATGTTTTGAGAGAGTTGTCCGAATAAAACATCAGGAGCTCCATGGCAAACTTTTTAGCTCGCCGCGCCGTCTTGCCGTTCTTTCTTTCTCTGTGTGGTTCGTGGATCTTCTGATTTCCGGTATACCACTTACCGGATGGACCACCATTTCCTATGATTACTACCACTCCGGCTGCTTCCCAGTCTTGGAGGATAACCTGTATCACCTCATCATCGTCAAAGTTCTCGGGATTGGACTTGCTTTGATTTTCTTTATAATTTCCCACGTTGTCATATTCAATTCCATTAACTCACAAACAAATATGTCACGAATTCAGCCTGTAACTGTAAAGGAACGTAAAGAAAACGAGGAATCACCACCCCGAACTTCATCCCAGAACTGGATACACGAGAGCGAGTCAAGTGATAACGACAACTTTGATAATGATGGAAAATTAACAAACAGAAACAGCCACAAGTTTGGAATCAGTTCGTTTGGAAGTCGCAATAAACAGGAATATAATCATTTCAATGAAGACAAATCAAATCATAGGCAATATGAAATAAACGAAAAGAACAAAATGGAAATTCGTGAAAAAATGACGCGGAAACAAATTCTATTTGCCATGGTCCACTCGGTCTTTACACACTTTGGGGTTTGTTTGTTCATGATCATCTTCTGGATGCCTTACTTTATTGTTGCAGTTTGCCGAACTGTTGACAAAGATGTGTTCAGGGGGTATTACAGTGTCTCACTTTGTTTCATTCTGTTGACATTCACGATGAGACCCCTGGTACATTACGTCAGACTTCGGCGACTCATAAAGAACAGACAAAGAAATGTTTTGCAATGGCGCCAAGAAATAATACAGGAAAAGAAGAATGTAAAGCATACAGACAAACACAACAGAAAGGAAACATCAGACGGAAGTTATATCAGTACTGATGAAAGTTACGATGAAGAAAGTTCAATAGGTTTCAATGATGACGAAAGTGAACGAAAGGATATTAAAGGAAATCACCCAAAGAGGAAGATATCGGCAAAACCTGGGAAAACCCAGGTGATCAAAAATACTCCCAACAACCAAAATAGAAATGAAAGCCCGAGCCAGGTCAAGAAAGGGAATAACCATCATAAAAAGAGAAGGAGGATCAGAAAGAGAAAGAAAGTAAAACAACAAAAACAACTGAAGGGCATACCTGTTCTAAACAAGAGGAACATTCGAAGTTATGTAAGCGAGTCAGACTATAGCGAATGGTCAGAATATACTGTGTCAGAAGATGACAAAGAGTCTTACATTGATGATTCTTTGCCAATCCATGGCAATGAAGTCGCCAGGAAAGTGACTGACGAAAACCAGAAAGCAAAAGAAGTCCTTCCTTCCGATCAGTCATCTAAACATCCCATGTCTAACGGGAAGAATGAAGAGGTTAAATATGATCAAAGCTCTCATAAAGAACATTCTGAACAGAAAGTTAACCAAAGATCACGCGATGAAAGTTCAACTGATGTGGGAACAAGTGGTGTTCATCTGGTAATCGCAAGCTCTACCACTAAGTATATAATGTCTGAGCATAAAGACGAAACCAAAGGAAAGAACACTGAAGTTGATCAAAATAAAAGAAAAGAGAATGATTTAAATAATCATATTGATGATAAATCGAACAGTGAGTCGTATAAAAGCAAAGGAAAAGGTCAGAAAGATCATGAATATAAGCAAAATTCATTAAATGGTGTTAAGGAAGAGGAAGAAGAAACAACCGAACACAGGCCAACAATACAAAATGATCATCAGGAAACGATGAACCAAGCTAACTCTACCTGGGCTGATAAATCACACGAGTTAAACTCAAAAATAGTAATATCGACCGTGCATTATAGAGAATTATCAGAGGAACCACCAAAGAGTAAATCTGATATGCGAAGAGTATCAGAGACAATTGATACACACAATACGCAGACATACCCAAGACATGAAAGGCGAAAAACTCATGATACTTTGGATACAAAAAAAGTGTATCAACCTACACCAAAGAAACAAAGCTTTTATAATCAGTATGAAACAAATGAAATTAACAGTCGTGAACAAGACGAAAGAAACACAAAAACAAAGCACACCACGGTTCTTTTAACAGAAAACCAAATCATCAACACATCAACGAAGACTGAACCAAAGAGCATGAGGGAAAATAACCAAATCATCAACACATCAACGAAGACTGAGCCAAAGAGCATGGGAGAAAAACAGAAGTCAGTTAGTGAGCCCAAAAGTGAAAAACAGATCATAAAAGAGGATTCAAATAATCCTAAAGAAGATAATAAAAGCAAAACAATGAACCAAGCTAAATATTACAATGTTCCTAATAGAAATCATAATGGGAAGTTAGAAAATGATCAGCCCGTGTTTGTTGATCACCAAGAAATGCCTTTTGGTAAAGACACAGATCATGCATCTTCCGTGAGGAATAACGGCAAAGCAAATAAGACACTACTGGAACAACCCGAGAATATAGGCAACTCAAACACCTATTCATCTCCACATGATCACAAT